CCCCCTTTTTTTTTTTTTTTTTTTTTTTGGACCGCTCAATTCTTACGATTTATTTTTTTGTTATTTGGCTAACTCTGAATTTCCACTAGTTTTTATATTTTATAAGAGCCAGCTTCTATGGTTAGGTTTATCTTCATAAACTAAGAAAAAAGTTTTGGCATGAGAAATGCTCTATTACTGAATGGCAATGAAGGAATACCTTTGTTAAAAGTTGAAACTATTTACTCAGCAGCCAACATTACTCATAAGTGTAGTAAATCAACGTATCCTGCCAGTTTAGGAGGTCTGTTAACTGGTTCACAGTGTTTGAGCTGCTTGCTTTCTCCCTTCCACACATTTGCAGCTGCTGACAGAAAGGGAATTTCAGAAGATACAGATGCTTCTTTGTTCAGGAGTAACCAAACTCTTCAGTTAATGATCTTTTAAGTCATCTCTATTTTCTAGAAAAGGCAGTCCTAGCCCTTGGCCAGTTACTTCATTTTCTAACTGTTTTTGTGGAGAAGAGGGAGTCAAGGAACAAGACTTGGCAATACCAGTACATTGGACACAGGTCAACCAGAATTAAGCCTGAAATAAATTCACCAGAATTCCCCTTGTAAAGAAAGGCAGGTAAGAAAGTGTAGCCGTTATGAGCTGCTAAGGAGCTTGCCTGCTGCCGTCACACCAGATCAATTTACTGTCTCTCAGCAACACAAGCATCCATAGAATAAGACACCACTGACCTTGAGTAATTTGTTATATTTTTCTTCGACTTCCTCTGTGACTTGGAGTTCTGAGGAGTGCTAATAGTTTTTTATATATTTATTTCTTTTGCAGTTTTAGTTTTTCTCATTTATTACTTACAGTTATATTTAAAATTACTACATTCAAAGAACATTATTAAAGTTGCAGAGTCAAATGTTAGTTGCCAGCACTAAACTTACTTGTTTAAGAGTATTTGCAGGAGTGTACTGTGTTGAGTTACATGCCAACATGCAGGATTTTTTCATAGCCTCTGTTCTTTGATAGATTTGTTCTTTTTGCAGCCAGCCTTTTTCTTAGCACAGCTCTGTTCCATATTGATGTAGGCTGATGTAAAGAAACTTGAGCTAATCGGGGCTGGATTGGGCTTGTATAGGTTTATCATGGTGTTCAAGATCTCTTGAGCACAGAATTGCCCATTTTCTCTTTTTTTTAAACTACAGCTTGTGTTTTCCAAATGTTAAATCAGTCTTTGCAACATCACTGAGAGCTGTAGTAGGGTTAATATTGCTTGTATTTTACAGAGAAGGAACCGAGACAATGGAGAAATTTATGTTTGGAAGACTCCATTAACTTAGGGTGATGAGTTTGTGAAACCTGACCTTTACTATTTCAGAGTGCTTGGATTGATACCATGCTTTCTCTGTTCAGAGCTCATCTTCAGGGACAGCTGTGAGCTTCAGTATTTTTGCAAACCAGAACTGAACTCTCAAGGCAAGTCAGGCTTCTGAATTTGAGGAGCATCCAGATCATCACCATCTACGAAGTGCTCATTTAGCAAACTTGTCTTTTGTCACCTAGAAACTGCAGAGGGAGGGACAGATCCCATCTCTGAGGGCAGTACCCTTCTGCCTTAATCATGGGACCTTCCTTACAGTTCTTGCAGTTCCCTGCCTCGCTATAGTACTTTTTCAACTTCCACAACACATAAAACAAGCCCCTCTCATCCAGTGGCTTCCTCTCACACATATTCCTGATTCGTAGGCAGAACAAGCTTTTCCCAGTGTGCTGAGTCACAAGTCTGACATTTCTTCCCTTTGTGTTTAATCTAAGATATTTCCCACTTTGTACTTAAAAGTGTTACTCAGCTCTAGGCTGATTGAAATCTTTGGTGAATTTGGGTACTACAATCTAAGTTTCTTTGCAAGCTATGAGGTTTTTTTGAAAGTTGCTATATTTTTGGCTACAGCAAAGGGTGTTTCCCTGACAGTATTTCTCCCATGTTAAATTTCAAGTCATTATTGTGAAGTGTGGTATTTTCAGAGAGAAATGTGCTGTAATTTCTCTGCGCCTGTGTTCTGTAGTGACAGCAACATTTGGGCTGAAATTTTCAACAACAGAAAGCTTGGACGTGTACCCACTGCAAATATGTTGTTGTTCCAAGAAGCTAAAGAATGAGAAAACTATAAGCTGAAAACAAAGTGAAGAGAATGTCAGGAAGCTTTGTAATAGGTGCTGTTACTAGCTGCAGCTACAGTGTTACCGGAAGAAACATGATTGTGTCTAAATGGTTTTATATTTTAACAAATTGATGGCCTTTTCCAATACGTGAGGTCCAGAGTTAAAATCATTGTTCGTTCTTAACATTAACAGATTTATTTGTGCTTTTAACATCTAAATGTATAAATAGTAATTGCACTGTAGGTCAATGAAATACTGCAGTCGTTCGTCTTAGTCGGTACTGTGGGTCCCACAGCAATATCATTGAAAGTGATCAGAGCATTCTTGCACCTGCGACCTGCTTTCATGAGGGTGATGTCAAGATGCCTTTTCCATTTTTCCTGGTAATGATGTATGTAAGCTATTAGGAAACAAATGGCAGCCTATTGGAAAGCCAGCACAATGTGGCAGTGCATGTTGCCAAGACCACAACATCATCAAGTAGCATGCATGACCTAAATGGTACAGTGAGCTGTGCAGCAAGTGCCAGCGTACTATGAGTTGTTAAATCTGTCCTTATGATGTAGGCTACTCTTGAGCCAGGAAGATAGAAGGTGCAAGATAATGTTAACAAGCAGATGGAGGAGGCTTGAGATAAAGGAAATGGTGAGCAAGAGGCAGAAGGAGAAACTCTGAAATTTTCAGGGTTCGGATAAGCTTCTTGGGCTATAGGTGCATGCGCACGTGTGTGTGCATAAATACATTTTTTTACGTAGTCTTTTAAAATGTGTAGATTCTGTACCTTATTCAGTCATTTAATGTGAAAACTCCATCTAAGGAAGTGTGTGTGGGAGTGCAAGTGATTGTTCCAAAGAGACAAGAACGGTTGCCCAAATGTGAGTGCCAGGAAGCTGGGTAGAGTGGATGGAGCTGGCAGAAGATGTGTTTACCAAAGCAGTCCACATTCGAGGCATTAATAACTGGCAGAGAAGGATGGAACAACTCCTGCCAGACACCTCCTCCTCAGCTTTCCACCCTTGGCTCAGCAACTGTCCAGCCATGTTCTCTCCTGAGCAATCCCTAGAAGAGGATTTTTCTGAAGTGCTGTGAAAACTTCAGAACATATATCACTTCAGAACATATATCACTACTGGCACACACAATGTGTTTATGCATGAAAGTTAATCTGGCTGGTGATGACATTGGGCTCAAAGTTAGGTTTTCTTCTTGGGGAATGATCAAATGATCGAATGTGATCAAGTTTCAGCAGCTTAGCAAATGACCCTAATGGCTGAATCGCCACTGCTGTTCATCTTTCCCTCAAGTTGAAGCAAATGCACTTTAGCTCACAGCTGGAGTAAGCTAAGAGTGCAAGCAAGGACAGTTAAAGCAGACCAGCTGGCTGTTGGCAGCTTCTTCATTCTCAGAAGCTTGGTCACCTTTGTATGTGCAATACACAACTCAGCCCTTTCACAATACCTGGACCAGTTTAATTTTTTTTGGGCCTCCCTTCTTTCTGCCAGTCCATATACTTACCATGTGAAGGACGTTTCAGATGCTGTCTGTATTTCTGAGTGCATTTGACAGGGTCAGCATTGAATTACATGGGGAAATTGTTCAGCTGCTTGATCACTCACTGAATGAGCCTTGCTCATAGCTTAATCTGTACTGGTAGTATATTGCACTGCGAGACTCATTTGGTTTGCCTCAGCTGGTTAGAGGGGCTCAGGTTGGAAGTACTATATAAAGCTTACTGAGAAATGCAGTTTAGTCCATCTGCAGAACCATCGCATTTTCTCTCTGCCGTTGCCATGTTCCTCTCTGGATGTTCTCTAGAGTAGCACTTATGCAGTATTTTAGGTGCTGCTGCCCCTCCCTGAGACTACTGGATGCTATATGAAGAGAAGGTAGATCAGCATTAGTTACACAATAGAGGCTTCTTGTTAAACGTTAGGGATGGCAGTATTGCTAATGGAAGAGCTGATCCAAACCCGATGAACTGTTTGGGAATTATTTTTGTAACTTTGTGAATTTTAGAGGGGGGTGAACCCTGCTGCAATCTGTGATAACTGCATTAAGAACTGTTCACTGAAAAAAAAGGAGTAGACTAAAAGCTAGGGAAAAAAAACCCCAGACTAATGATGTTGCACTATATGTTTTTGTTTTAGGCTTTCCTGACAAAGTAACAATAAAGCAATGCTACCGTCTTCTGGGAAACAGCCTCAATGTACATGTGGTGGCAAAATTGATCTCCATTCTGCTTGGATAATTTAGAACCTGAATCTGATGAGTACGGACTGGTGACAGAAAATACTTCCATCTTTCAAGAGAAAGCTGGTGGCAGCTGAACAAAAATCGTAGCTTACCAAAATATCTGTCCAGACATTTTGCTGAACGGTTCTGATATATTTTTAATACCTTGCTTTTATGGTGGATTTGCACTGTAGAGGTGTTTTATTTAAATGGAAGTTTCCAGACTTAATTGCTGTATTTAAATGTCCTTTTTAGTTTGCAAAATGAGAAAGAGCAGCATTTACATATACCTCAATGAAAATGGATAAGACTATTTTATTTTATATTAAAACTATCTTCTCAGTACGGTATAAAAAGGCTGTAAATGTCAAAGCTGTTTTAATTAAGTGCAGAGACCAAGTTCTACATATAAAATGTCTTCATCTGTAAATATCAGTCATCCATTCTTAAAAGATTTATTGTATATACGGTCTGAAATTTTGATGTGGTTTTTTGTAGCTAATAAAATATTAAATTCAGTATTTTGTATACCATTTTTAAGAAGGCAGAGTGTCATCCTTAGTTTATGGTTGTCTCATCGTCTCTAAATACTTGTAGGTTTCATGGAACCCAACTGTATCTGTCTGGAATGATTTGTTTAGGTGCAGCTCAATAAAAATATTTCAAGATTATCACAACCCTGACAATAACTTGCCTGTTTCTGTTCTCACATTATTCAGGATAAGGTCATTGCTCCTTACCAAAGATCTACACATAAAAGACATAAAAAACAATTTAAAAGCTCTGTGTCTAGGTTCCTATGGCATAAGAACTGGAGAAAAACTATATGGGCTTCTTCTGAAGATATATTCACAAAACTTGATAGTAGTATTAGGGTTAGGAGTGTATGTTGGGATGAAACCACTACCCTGGACTTCAGGAGAGCAGACTTTGGCCTCTTCAGGGATCTGCTTGGTAGAGTGCCATGGGATAAAGCCCTGGAGGGAAGAGGGGCCCAAGAAAGCTGGGTAATATTCAAGGATCACCTCCTTCAAGCTCGGGAGCAATGCATCCCAACAAAGAGGAAGTCAGGCAAAAACGCCCGGAGGCCTGCATGGATGAACAAGGAGCTCCTGGACAAGCTCAAATGCAAAAAGGAAGCCTACAGAGGGTGGAAGCAAGGACAGGTAGCCTAGGAGGAACACGGAGAAATTGTCCGAGCAGCCAGGGATCAGGTTAGGAAAGCTAAAGCCCTGATAGAATTAAATCTGGCCAGGGACATCAAGGGCAACAAGAAAAGATTCTATAGGTATGTCAGGGATAAAAGGAAGAGGAGGGACAATGTGGGCCCTCTCCAGAAAAAAATGGGAGACCTGGTTACCCAGGATACGGAGAAGGCGGAGGTACCCAATGACTTTTTTGCCTCGGTCTTCACC